CACATAGTAGAGTTACAAGTGGAGAGGGTAGCAAGGGTAGGATGGGAGATGCCAAACTACAAAAGGGGGGGACTACACAGGCATGAGGAACTTTCTGCAAGAGGATCAGTGGGAAAGAGAATTGGCAGGAAAATCAGTACACGAAATGATGGACTACGTGACAAGAAAATGTAAGGACAAAGAGGAGAGGTTTGTTCTCATGGGAAATAGAAATAATGGAAGACCAGAACGAGCCCTTGGTTCACCCAAAAGTGTAGGGAGGCAAAAATTAAGTGCACTAGAGAATGGAAAAATTACAGATCACAAAGAACCCAAGAAAATAAAGAGATTAGTCGAAGAAACCCGAATCGAATATCCACGGATAAGGAGGGAGGCCTAGCGGCAGCACGAAAACGACATAGCATCAAAAGTAAAGTCTGACCCGAAGCTGTTTTATAGCCACATCAAGATGAAAAAACAGTCAAGGACCAGATAATCAAGTTGAGGAAGAATGGTGGGGAGGTTCACAAGAAATGACGGAGAAGTATGTGAGGTGCTCAACGTGAGATTTAAAGTATTTACAGTGGAGACAGAATAGGTAGTCAGAATAGGAAGGGGGGGGGGGCAACCAACAAGGGATGTACAACAAGTGCTGGATGAAATACACTAAACCCAAAGGGAGGAAGTGAAGAGGCTTTTTAAATGAACCTGATACTCAAAGGCATTGGGACCAGACAACATCTCTCCGTGGGTCCTTAGAGAGAGAGAAGAGATGTCGAGTATGCCACTAATAACAATCTTCAACACTTCCACTGAAACTGGTCAACTACCTGAGGTATGGAAGACAGCAAATTAGTCCCACTTTTAAGAAATGAGATAGACACGAGGGATTGAACTACAGACCAGTGCACTTTCCATGAATAGTATGTAAAATCATGGAGAAAACTAAACAGGAGGGGAACAAATGGAGCACCAAGAGAGGAACAACCTTATATACAAAAACTTGCAAGGTTTCAGGGGGAAAGAAATCCTGTGTCCCCAAACCTACAGAATGACAACAGTAAGACAAGGGAAAAGAGGGGTGGGTAGGTTTTTGTTTTCTTGGACTGTAAGAAAGCTTTTAATACAGTTCCAACATAAGAGATTTGTGCAAAAGCCCTTTAGGACCAGGTAGCTACGTATAACAGGGAAGGCAATGCAATGGATCAGGATCAGGGAATATCAGACGGGAAGACATCGGCGGGTCATGGTACGTGACGAGGTGTCAGAGTGGGCGACTGTGACGAGCAGGGTTCCACAGGGGTCAGTCCTAGGACCGATGCTGTTTCTGATATATGTGAATGAAATGAAGGAAGGGATGGACCCAGAAGTATCCCTGTTTGCAGATGATGTGAAGTTAATGAGAAGAGTTCAATCAGAAGAGGACCAGGCAAGGCTACAAAGGGATCTAGACAGGTTGCAGGCCTTGGCCAAAATCTGGCACCTGAAGTTCAACCCCACCAAGTGCAAAGTCATGAAGATTGGGGAAGGGTAAAGAAGACTGCAGGCAAAGTACAGTCTAGAAGGCCAGAGACTACAAACCTCACTCAAGGCAAAGGATTCTGGGGTGAGTATAACACCGAGTACATCTCCTGAGGTGCACATCAACCAAATAGCTGCTGCAGCATATGGGCGCCTTGCAAATCTAAGAACAGCATTCCGATATCTCAATAAGGAATCGTTCACCGTGTACATCAGCCCCATATTGGAGTATGCAGCACCAGTTTGCAACCAACTCTACACAAGTCTGATCTTGTCGTCGTTGTAACGTACGAAATGCTCTTTGATAACTTACAGGTAACAAGTTATACGTCTCTAAAATAGTTTGTTTGACAGCGTCATAACTAATGTACTTGGCAAATGGTAAAGCAGCAGTACAAGTTTGAGCTCTTCCTGTCAAAGCTGTATGCAACAATGTTGCCCAGTGCTTACGTGGCCAGTTCATAGCACGTGCCTGGTTCTCAAACACATCAAAATAGGTGTCTAAGTCACTCTCAAAAAACTTAAGAACCATGGATGCAGCTTTCTGCACATTAAATGTGTCCTGTGATCTATCAGTCTGTTGTCTTCCAAGACGAACATTTTCTCTTTGGAAATCTTCTTCGTTCAATTTCCTCTGTGCCTCTATTTGTGCAGTCTGCAACATAAAGAGGCGTTCAAACCTCTCAAACTGTTCCTGAGAGATAGGACCAGTGGGTAATGGAGGAGTAAGAAAATTAACATGGTCTGGACGGTTCTTAGGTCGGACACTTCATCCAGCCATCTCTAGAGAGTCTAGATCTGGTCTAGGATAAGTAGATACAGGTGTAGCATACACTGTACTAGTATTAGGTTGTGTCATGCTAACAGTTAGGAGGGAAGATGTGAGCGAGAACTGAGCTACACTAGGCTCAGACACTAGGCTCACTTCTGCCTTAGTTGCTCCTTCTTCTACATCATCAAGTAGAGTCATACTTCCTAATTGTGACACTAGGCTTTCTGAATCTGAATCATAATCAGACATCTCTGTATGAGCAGGAAACAATATATCTTTAATTAACGCTCTGACAGTTTCTGCGGTGTAATTCCTGTTATACGTCACACCGAGATATTTGGCTACTCGCCAACACGTCTGAAGTTTTAATGTACTCAACTCAGACAAAGTCAGAGTATCAATTAAATGTTTCACTTTGGCATACATCACGAAAATAATTGTACTACGAGAGAGTGATTATGGGAAACTATAATCCTAATAGTAATTTTAGTGTTGGTGGTCTTAGAGCTAGAACTCATAAACAGTATTTCCATCTCCTTGGATCAAGAGACTCAGTCAGGTACATACATCCACCTGGTATGTTGTACAAGACTAAACTCAAAGTCTTCAGATTAGGAAAGTACTCAAAGTGTTTGATCATAGAGTTACTTGTATGTCAAACTGGACAATTTCTCCAACACCTTGGATCAAGAGCATCCCGGACAGTTTCTCCAACACCTTGGATCAAGAGCATCCCGGACAGGCCCCCATTTGTTACAAAAAACGCGATTCTAAAAGCTTAGAAATCTCCAGTGAATACTAGAAAGGACTTCCCTTCTAGCATCCAGCCTGTTACTGGGTTTTCGTAACAAGTAGTCAGTATCCTTGTCCAATTATCCATTAGAATTCAGAATAATTCGATAGTGCTTCAGGATTACAACTGGTAGGCTACTAACTAGAGAAATTAAAATTTAATAAATTTATTAAGTCTAGAGGTATATTATCAAATTAAATTAAATTAAATTAATCACAGTAATTAAAATAATATCACTTCTCTCGAGTACAATATTATTGTGCTGAAAGCACATATCACCTTTATAATTCTTAAGTACCGTCTGGTACATTAACATTTAATAAGATATTACAAATATGTACAAGTTTGTGTATGCATGTAAGTGCTCTAAGTAGTTCACTATGTCTCACGACTCGACTAGACTTAAACAAGTGACTGACAAAGTCCTCTAATAAACTAACTTCTTGACCGACTGGCAACCAGAACAGTCTGCTTGAACAATAAAGAATGCTAAAGCCCAATAGCAATGCAACAAGCAACTGCGACACTGAATCAGGAACAAGGAGATAATATAACGACACTAAGTAGGGACCATCTGCAGATCCTCCACAAAAGTTACAAAACTCCCATACTACTGAATCTAAATTCAGCCTAAGAAAATCCCAGACTGTGATAATACACAGAAACCAGTACAAATTAGGTCATAAGCTATAGTTCAGGACCTGAGTTGTTTAGAGTGTCTATGCGACACACAACCTCAATACAACGTCGAAAATCACTAAGTCTATACAATGTTCTGTGAACAGAGTTCTACAGAACTAACAAGAATAATGAGACAGACAATCTGTCCAACCACCAAGAGAGTCTAGACCAGCCTGAATACTTCACGTGAGGTGAGGACACCCCCCTCGATCACGTGATAGCTCCGTGGACAACTGCAGCTCAGAAGCCGGCAGAGTAACGAGCAAGGAGCGATAATTACAGTAGTTAGACAATCAAGACTTGAACTGAGCACATAATATGATACATCCTACCTAACAAAGGAAACTACGTCAAATAACAATATCAAGCAATACATTTACGATTTAGCTATTATCGCAAATATAAGCAATATAAAATTAAATGAAAAGGTAATAATTATATATATACATAATAATCATTGCAACCATTCAGGGGTTGCAACACTAAGCACGTAAGGAAATTAAGGAAAGTGCAATGGTTTGTAACAAGACATGTCCCGGAGCTAAGGGGCATGTCCTACGAGGAGAGGTTAAGGGAAACCGACCTAACGACACTGGAGGATATGAGTGATGGTGGGGGGGATATGACAGCGGCATATAAAGTACTGAGAGGAATCGACAAGGTGGACAGGGACAGGATGTTCCAGAGATGGGACACAGCAACAAGGGGTCACAGTTGGAAGTTGAAGACTCAGATTAATTACAGGGATGTTAGGAAGTATTTCTTCAGTCATAGAGTTGTCAAGAAGTGGAATAGTCTGGAAAGTGATGTAGTGGAGGCAGGTTCAATACATAGCTTTAAGAATAGGAATGACAAAGCTCATGGAGCCGGGAGGGTTATCCAGTAGCGACCAGGTTAGAGGCTGGGCCAGGAGGTGTGACTTAACCCCTGCAACCAGAACTAGATGAGTACGCCCACACATACACTTAAATGCGGTGTATACTGAATGTAAGTGGCGGCTGCAAGATTCTTGCCAATTCAGATGTTTATAAAGCATCATAAAAAGACCAGTAAAACTGCAAGAGTTTAAAGCATACTTATGAAAGATTTTTCTTTCACATTCATCTGAGAGGACGGTCCCATCCCCCCCCTCTCACTTTTACTTAAAGCTTTTTTTTAATTAGTGCCCGACACAGGGGCACTAATTAAGGTCAGGTTGAACGACTTCCTCGAGCGCAACAGGTGGAGTTTCACAGAGTGTGTGCCACCACACACTGGAGCACTCACTCGCCTATATAACACACACTATCTCACCTCTCTCACACACTCCCTCAGTACACCACACCATCATGAAGTGCGTAGCAGCTCTGACTTTTGTCTTCGGTAAAGACTTTTTTAAGTAACTCGTCTTGTGCGTGGCGCTTGTGAAAGTAGTATTCATTGTAGAGTTGAATTGTTTTATCTTGTGTTAAGTGAACAGGAAAATGCCTGGGACAGCACAGGTATGAAGAAGTGTGGGAGAATAGAATGTAGGAGAGATGGAAGAGCGTGAAGTATAATAGCAATGAAGAGAGGAAAGGAGCAGTGTGGTTTGAATGGAAGAAATTTAGGAAAGTGGGATCAATAGAGGACTGTAAGAGAAACTGAAGAAAGTGACAGATATAAAGAAGAGTGGAAGGGATGGAGAGAAGTGGGAGGGATGTAGAGAATGTATGGAGAAGACAGTTGAAGGGAAGGAAGATAATGACGTTGCCTCTCTTGGACACATGCTAACATAGTTTTTGTACATCACCACCACCCCCGCCCTCACCACCACCACCAAACCCCCCCACCATCACCACCACCCCCGCCCTCACCACCACCACCACCCCACCACCATCACCACCACCCCCGCCCTCACCACCACCACCCCCCCACCAACACCACCACCCCCGCCCTCACCACCACCACCCTACCACCATCACCACCACCCCCCCCCTCACACCACCACCCCCACCACCATCACACCACCCCCCCCCTCACCACCACCACCCACCCACCCCCATCACCACCCCCCCCCCCCTCACCACCCCCACCCCACCACCATCACCACCACCCCGCCCTCACCACCCCCAAACCCCACCACCCCTCACCCCCACCCCCGCCCCCCACCACCACCCCCCCACCACACCCCACCCCCCCTCACCACACCCCCCCCCCACCCCATTACCACACCCCCCCTCACCCCACCACCCCACCACCTAACCACCACCCCCGCCCTCACCACCACCACCACCCCACCACCATCACCACCCAAACCCCCCCCCTCACCACCACCACCACCCACCACCATCACCACCACCCCCGCCCTCACCAACCCCCCCACCCCCCACCACCATCACCCCCCACCCCCGCCCTCACCACCACCACCCCACCACCATCACCCACCACCCCCCCCCCCTCACCACCACCACCACCCCACCACCATCACCACCACCCCCCCCCCACCACCACCACCCACCACCATCACCACCACCCCGCCCTCACCACCACAACCACCACCACCATCCCCGCCTTCACCATTAACCACCCCACCACCATGACCACCACTGTAACCACCACCATCACCACCACCTCCCCACCACCATCACCACCACTATTGCCACCACCCCCGCTCTCACCACCACCACCCCACAACCATCACCACCACCATCAATCACCACCACCGCCCCACCACCATCACCATCAATCACCACCACCACCCCATCACCATCATTACCAACACCACCCCCACCACCGCCATCCACACCACCATCACCACCACAACCCCCACCATCACCACCACCACCACCTCCATCACCACCACCACACACCCCCGCCATCACCACCACCACCCCACCACTATCACCAACACCACCCCACCACCATCCACCACCCCACCCCCCACCACCACCACCCACCAACCACCCACCACCATCACACACCACCCACCACCATCACTCACACCACCACCATCACCACCATCACCACCACCATACCACACCACCCCACCCCATCACCACCACCACACCACCACCCCATCACCAACCACCATCACCACCACACACCACCATCACCCACACCCATCCACCACCACCATCACCACCACCCCCCATCACCATCAACCACAACATCACCGCACCATCACCACCACCATCCACCATCCATCACCACCATAACCACCACCACCATCACCACCACCACCCCACACCACCACTCACACACCTCACCACCACCACCTCACCACCACATCGCCACCATAATCACCACCACCATAACCACCACACATACCACCATCACCTCCGTCACCACCACCACCACCTCCTCACCACCACACCACCACACCACCACTATCACCCACCTCACCATCACCCACCACCATCACCCATCACACCACCATCACCCACATCACGCACCATCACCACCATCATCACCACCACCATCCCACCATCACACACCATACACCACCATCATCAACCACCACATCACCACCATCAATCACCACCAACCATCACCACCATCACCAACCACACATCACCACCTATCACCCCAAACCATTCACCACCACATCACCACCAACCATCCCCCATCATCACCACACCATTACACACCACCATCACCAACCAATCACCACACCACTCACCATCACCACCACCATCACCACCACCACCACACCACCATCACCACCATCACACAACACCCATCACTCATCCCACCACCACCACCACCACACACCACCATCACCCCCCCATCACCACCACACACCACCACCACCACCACCATCACCATCCACCATCACCACCAACCATCACCATCACCACCATCACCCCACCACCACCAACCATCACCATCATCACCATCACCACCACATCACCATCACACCACACACCACCACCACCCACCACCATCACACACCACCCCACCACCATCACCACCACACCCCACCACCATCACCACCACCACCCACGCCATACCACCACCATCACCACCACCACCACCCCATCACATCACAACCATCACCGCAACCATTCATACCACCATCACCTCCATCACCACCATAACCACCACCACCATCACCACCACCACCCCACCACCATCACTACCACAACCATCACCACCACCACCATCACCACCATCATCACCATCATCACCATCATCACCATCATCACCATCATCACCATCACCACCAACTATTATTAATGCCAACATCACTTGCGCCGAAGCCATAACAATCACAAACTTCACTATGGGCAGTGTCAGTTTTTACAAATAAGCTTAGAGATCTCCAGGTAATACTAGAAAGTACTGCCCGTCTAGCATCCAGCCTGTTACTAGGTTTTCATAACAAGTAGTCAGTTTCCTGGTCCAATTATCCATTAGAATTCAGTAAGATTTAATAGTGCTTCAGGATTACAACTGGTAGGCTACTAACTAAAGAAATTAAAATTTAATAAGTTTATTAATCAAGAAGTCTAGGAGTATATTATCGGTTTCTGCATGGTATCCTTCTGTCAAGAGAGATACTAAGAAACAGAAGGGTAGTAGAGGGTGAGGGGTGTGGAATATATGGAGGGGACGAGACTGCATTCCATGTAGTTTATTTTTGTGAAGGGCTAGAGGAGCTCAGGTGCTGGTTAAGTAGGTTGGTACAGTGGGTGGGAGGCCGTGGGGTGTCGGTTCTGCGTGCTTTAAATCTAGATATGGGTGGGTTAGACGAGGGTGTCATAAGAGCTTTAGATTATATCATGGTAGATTATATATATATATCGTGGGAGATGAGAGGGAGAGGGGATAGTGAAGAGCGAAGGAGGGGTCTTGCGATAACGTTCTATCGTACGATATGTCGCTATGTCGTAACAGAGAATTGTATGGGAGGAGGTGGGATCAGATTTTCTCAGAGAGGTATAGAATGCTAACGTTAGGAATTCTCGTGAATCTGTGATGATAATGAGTGAGTGAAGGGGTTTCCATAGGTTGAGAGGGAGTCAGGGGGTCACATCGGGCTCGCCTCCTGGGGGGGGGCCGTGAGAGTGTTGTGAATGTGGGTATGGACTGTTTCCTGGTTTTCATTGATGCATATTTGCATCAACCTTGTGGTTATCATGCCAAGTGTGGATGTGGAGCTTGAGGACTCGTTATGATCTATATAACATATTTCATGAATGTAGGTGTAATCTTGAAGGTTTTTTTTTATGTATTTTTGGATATGTATCAGTCTTGTATGACACGATTCTTGAGTAACATGTTCTTTGCGATATGAAGTGTTTTTTAGTTTGTATTTATGTTATGTGCTAGGTTTTTGTATGTTGAGATATACTTATATACTGCTTTGTTTTGTGCATACAGTGCATCTGATTAATGTGATTTTGAGATTTTTTTTTTTTTGAGTCAGGCTTTAAGTAAAACTTTGTATATGTATGATTTCGATTCATTTACAGTTTATATAATTTAGGTCAGTACCTTGATACCGGTTTGTTTGCATTAACATGTTCTTGATGAAAGTTAGAGCTGTATGATATACAGACACATCTAGCCAGTTTATAGACGCATTCCTTTTGTGTCTGATATTTTTGTATACGAGTTTATTGTAACGGAAATGAGCCTTCGGTTTTGAGATCTAAGCTGTTTTCTTTTTATGTTTATTTGTATTTTGGTGTATGTAAAGCTGTATTGTTAGGGATAAGTACGTAGATGTTTTAGTAAGATTATGATGTTAGGTTTTAATTTATTGACTAATGCAAAGGATGTGTTTAATTGATACATTTTCTTGTATATATTCTTTTCTATTTTATTGAGCCTTCGTCATATGTCATGTTATATGTAAAATTTATATATATGTAAGGTTTTGAATCATTGAATGTTTATATATTTCAGTTCATGACCCTGCTATTGTTTTTTTTTTTTGTGTGTGTAGCTATGTTCTTGCTGTAAGTTATTGTTGTATGTTATACAGCAATATCTTACGAGTATATAGGTGCAACCCTTTTGTGTCAGTTATTTTGTGCCGGGTTTATTTTGCCAGTGTTAGTTAGTTAGTTAAAGATTAGCCGGTATTCTCCCGGCCCGGGCCTTGTCCAAGTGGTGGCCCGGCCTTGGCTCCCTCTTTAGGGAGTGTCTGAGACCTAAGTCTCCCATGGGAGGAGGCACAAGTACCTCCTCATCTTTGGGACCAACTGTCCCCAGGCCTAGCCACAAGCTAGGCCTCTCTGGTCTGCCATCCCCACCCCAAGGGGGCTAATGGGAATAACAGTCTTATGAGCTAAAGGCTCGGGCTCAGGCACCTACCCTACCCTAGAAGGGTTAGGCATGGTGTCGATGTTTGTCAGTGTACGAACCTTTAGGTTTGAGATCCATATTGTTTTTATTTTTATTTATTAAAGAGTTTTATGTTACGCTGTATTGGTTTTAAATAAAATATAAAAAAAATCAATCTTATTTACACAAAATTTATTTAAATATCTTTTACTAATTATGTAAATCAGTCTTCTTTCCAGCGGCGTTGACGGCGACTTCCGGTCAAGGTAAGAAGTTCTGGTTATATTAATATTTTTAGATTTTGCTGTCGAACCTGCTAGTTTGGTGTGCAGGTCATATCCATGATGTAGACGGTACCACAATAACATGTGGTTACATAGAAAGCCTAGGAACCAGGCTCTAAAAGAGTTAACAGGCATGTACATATTTATGCTGTTTATATTATCTTATTCAGTTGAAGTTCATTTTAAAAGATTACATAAATATGAAGGTACAAGTTTAGAATTATTACACCCTTACAGTGGCATGAACATCAACAATGGAGGTACTAGGAATATACTTTGACTAGGTAATAGTTTGCAAGAACTCAGGAAACAATCGGTGTATTATCTTTGTCTTTTTACACTTCAGGATACACTTAGCTTAACTTTCCTCTGTGTCTCTTACTAGATTTTATTAATGAAATATTTCCTTTTTAAGTTAGAAGGTTTGATGTGACACCGAGGGACGACGTTCTCTGGAACCATTAACAACTATATAGCAAACATTACCGTCACTTGTGCCTCACAGTTACTACGGAACAAACGAATTTAATTAATTGTTGTTACAAAAAACGAGATTCTAAATGCTTAGAGATCTCCAGTGAATACTAGAAAGGACTGCCCTTCTAGCATCCAGCCTGTTACTGGGTTTTCGTAACAATTAGTCAGTATCCTTGTCCAGTTATCCATTAGAATTCAGTATGATTCAATAGTGCTTCAGGATTACAACTGGTAGGCTACTAACTAGAGAAATTAAAATTTAATAAATTTATTAGTCATTAAGTTGTCTAGGCGTATATCAAATTAAATTAAATTAATCACAGTAATTAAAATAATATCACTTCTCTCGAGTATAATATTATTGTGCTGAAAGCACATATCACATTTATAATTCTTAAGTACCGTCTGGTACATTAACATTTAATAATACATTACAAGTATGTACAAGTAAGTTTGTAAGTATGTGTAAGTGCTCTAAGTAGTTCGCTATGTCTCACGACTCGACTAGACTTAAACAAGTGACTGACAAAGTCCTCAAATAAACTAACTTCTTGACCGACTGGCAACCAGAACAGTCTGCTTGAACAAAAAAGAATGCTAAGCCCAATAGCAATACAACAAGAAACTGCGACACAATCAGGACAAGGAGATAATATAACGACTCTAAGTAGGGACCCTCAACAGATCCTCCACAAAAGTCACAAAACTCCCATACTACTGAATCTAAGTTCAGCATAAGAAAATCCCCGACTGTGATAATACACAGATACCAGTACAAGTTAGGTCAGAAGCTACAGCTCAGGACCTGAGATGTTTCGAGTGTCTATGCGACACATAACCTCAGTACAACGTCGAAAATCACTAAGTCTATACAATGTTCTGTGAACAGACTTCTACAGAACTAACAAGAATAATGAGACAGACAATCTGTCCGACCACCAAGAGAGTCTAGACCAGACTGAATACTTCAGGTGAGGTGAGGACACCTCCCCCCCCTCAATCACGTGATAGCTCCGTGGACAGCTGCTGCTCAGTAACAAGGAGAAGCCGGCAGGGAAACGAGCCACAAACGATAATTACAGTAGTTAGACAATCAAGACTTGAACTGAACTCATAATATGTTACGTCCTACCTAACCAAAGGAAGCTAAGTCAAATAACAATATAAAGCAATACATTTACGATTTAGCTATTATCGCAAATATAAACAATATAAAATTATATGAAAAGATAATAATTATATATATACATAATCATTGCAACCCATTCAGGGGTTGCAACAATTGTAAACTTAGTGCACATTTGGCAGAGTAAACTAACCCATCATTGGCCAAGATATGATAAATATCTGTGTTTCACTCATTACATATATATATATATATATATATATATATATATAATATATATATATATATATATATATATATATATGTCGTGCCGAATATGTAAAGCTGGTCAGTTAGCAAGAACTCATTTAAAATTAAGTCCTTTCTAAAAATTTCTCTTATACGTTTAAAGATATATTTTTTAATTGATGTTAATGTAAAAATTTTTAATTTTGCACCAAAAGAATCTTAGAAAACTTACCTAACCTTATTCTAACAAGCGCAATTTATTTTAGCCTAATCCTACTAAATATATTTTAAAAACGTTTACAGAAATTTAATACTAAACAAACACAATAAAATATATTTTTTTCGTTGGGTTTAGAATGATTTTGGCGAAATTATTGCATACACAAATTTTCGCTTGTCCTATATGGCAAGATGAGCGTTGCTATTTAAGCCAAGATCGCAAGTTCTGCCTATTCGGCACGACATATATATATATATATATATATATATATATATATATATATATATATATATATATATATATATATATATATATATATATATATATAATGATCTGGGAGGTGTATATATCAACATATAAACGTGGATAGTTGTATATATCAGTGTATATATACAAAGAGTTTACGTTAATCTCGGAGATTAAAGCACACGTGATAGTGTGAGGGTAAATTACGACTTTAATGACCCACTTACGGTCAAACTGGGCCCGAATATACTACGGTTTAATCGTTTGAAATATAATCTTCAAAACCCTTGCATGACTCAGTTACTCGGTGTCCACATAGTGCTTATCTCTTCTCTCCTCCTCCTTCATTGGGGTAAATATAGGGTATCTCAAAAAATATTATACATATATTCTTCATCTTAGTTTTCGTAACGTATTCAAAAGTAGTGTTGTGTCAGTTTAACAGATGGTGATTGTCGAACTGAACGAGTACGCAGGTACAATCTACGAGTTTCAGAGTGACTGGAAACGGCTCTATAAGGGGACAGCAGAACCTTGATGCTGGTAGAGGGCTCTTGATCCAAAGGATTAAATTACCATCTCCTTCCATAGACGAAATCCCATCCCACAGCTGCAGAATGAACCATACGGGCTTAGCGCTGTTACATAAATATAACATAAGACCATATAGACTAATGTTAGTTCAGAACGTAGTACATGGTCAAATAAACACACACACACACACACACATACACACACACACACACACACACACACACACACACACACACACACACACACACACACACACACACACACATACATGTATATATATATATGTCGTGCCTAATAGGTAAAAACTTGCAATTTTGGCTTAAATAGCAACGCTCTTCATGCCGAATAAGACAAGCGAAAATTTGTGTATGCAATAATTTCGCAAAAATCATTCTGAACATAACGATATAAATGTATTTCATTGTGCTTGTTTATTATTAAACTATTGTAAACCAATCTAAAATATATTTACTTGGATTAGGCTAAATTAGATTGCTCTTGTTATAGTAAGGTTAGGTAAGTTTTCTAAGGTTCTTTTGGTACAAAATTATTAATTTTTGCAATAACATAAATGAAAAAGTATGTCATTAAACGTATAAGAGAAAATTTTTAAAGGACTTAATGTTTAACAAGATTATTTGGTAGCTGGTAGCAGGGAGTAAATGATACGTCTTTGGAGGCTTCTTACTTTATTGTTAAGTCGTGGCGGGTACACAGGCTTGTGTGTTGTGCCCATGGCCTGGGAGGGCCATGCCACGAGAGAGGACACTTCTTGACTGAGTGAAGAGTGACGCCAGAGTGAGAGTGAGGCAAGGGCAGGCAGGCTGACGTGCCCACCGAGAGGCCTGGCTACAGAGGGCAGCACCTTAGTGCCGCGAAATATGAACTAAGCTGGCAGACAGCATGGGCTGTCTGCGCAGACTGTACAGGCTGTCTACATACACTCGGCCACCTACCGCGCGTCGTCCCAACGCGACAATATTGGTGGTAAAAGAAACTCGGTCTCTCTCTCGTAGGAACAGGGCACAGAACACAAAATAAAAACATATATATACATATGGACATGGAAAAAAAACTTCCTACAGGGAGGGAAGAAAAAAACATGTGGGGTGTGCTAAACATCGTGGTCAAAGGCAGTGAGCGTCGAAGGGCATCACTGCACGCCTTCCTGCATCTGGACAGATACTGCAACACAGGAAATATCGCTGGGGCTGAGCTGTGACGTAACAGGGTACGGTCTTCTCTGGAACGGTGAAGCAGTCATCGTAGGAGTCTCTGCAGATTTTCACTCAACCTGGGGCACGACATGCTGGTGCCCTCGAGTGAGATAACGAGTTTGTTTGGTGTTGCTGCAAGCAAGGTGGTAAAAGGATAAACTTCTTCGGAGGCTTCTTACTTTATTGTTAAGTCGTGGTGAGTACACAGGCTTGTGTGTTGTGCCCATGGCCCGGGAGGGCCGTGCCACGAGAGAGGACACTTCTTGACTGAGTGAAGAGTGACGCCAGAGTGAGAGCGTGGCAAGGGCAGACAGGCTGGCGTGCCCACCGAGAGGCCTGGCTACAGAGGGCAACACTTGAGTGGCGCAAAATATGAACTAACCTGGCAGACAGCATGGGCTGTCTGTGCAGACAGTATAGGCTGTCTACATACGCTCGGCCACCTACCGCGCGTCGTCCCGATGCGACAATACTGGTGGTAAAAAATACTCGGTCTTTCTCTCGTAGGCACAGGGCACAGAACACAAAATAAAAACATATATATATATATATATATATGGACATGGAAAAAAAAACTTCCTACAGGGAGGGAAGAAAAAAACATGTGGGGTGTGCTAAACATCGTGGTCAAGGGCAGTGAGCATCGAAGTGCATCACTGCACGCCTTCCTGCGTCTGGACAGATACTGCAACACAGGAGACATCGCTGCAGCTGAGCTGTGACGTAACAGGGTATGGTCTCCTCTGGAATGGTGAAGCAGTCATCGTAGGAGTCGCTGAAGGTTTTCACTCAACCTGGGGCACGACATGCTGGTGCCCTCGAGTGAGGCGTCGACAAAACTCAGCAACTGGGCAGGACTTCTGGCAAGTGACTCAGGAGGACACTTCTCGACTGGTACTGTCGCTGGGCTGTCACTGCCGGCGAGCGTGGAGTG